TCCTCCTCCATAAATACATTATTATCTCCACTATAAATGCATTCCTTATCACAGCACTTTACCCATAATAGGTACTTTCCCAGAGCATCTTCAGTGCATTTACCCCCACAGCCTCCATGGGAGGTGGAAAATGCTATTATCGCTTTCTTACAAGTCAAGACCTGAGCCACAGAGATGAAGTGGCCTGAGGTTTCACAGGAAGGCATGCAAAGGGCAGAATTGAAGCCAGATCTCCTACATCCTGGGCTAGTACCCGGCTACTGAACCATGCCTCCTCTTTGCTTTGAACATACTTAGATAAAGAACGCAACCAAAGTAAGCACATGTTATTATTGATAAAAAAAAAACTGCTTCAGGAAGGTCAGCATCAGGTGTGCTTGATCGATGGTAAGGGACTGTAAGAGGTGCTCAGGAGTCACTCAAGATGGCTTTATGATATCACTCTTTCCTTTTAATGACTAATGATTCATTGAAGCTATTACTACCAGGGCATGAAAGCCCTGCCTTGTATCCATGCCAAAGACTGCCCTCAGTGCATTCAGTTGTAAATGGGTGCCTGGCCACTTTGGCTGCGGAAGGCAAAGGTATCAGGACAGGATGATAGCTGCATCCTTGTGTGCTGCTGGCTGTAGGCACTGTAGGCACCATTCTGACTGTATCAACCATTAGACCCTGGAGGACCTTTAACTTTCTCAACCATCTTGCAACTGCTGAGAGCCACAGCATGAAGATGCAGTGTAGGAGCGGGGCTGGTTCTAGGGGTGCAGTTTTGGGTTACACAACTACATATGATGGGCACCAAGAAAAGAGGTGCCCGTACTCCTTATTTGTTGTCCTGGAGTGATAATTCAGATAGGAACCCAGGGATGAGGATGAAGATGTGGCCTGAGCTTCCTGCCTGCAGCCTTCTGCAGTGCTTTGCTCCTTGGACCAATGAGCAGGTTTAGATAGTAATTAAAGCATCTCCTCCCCAACCCAGATCTTTGTGAAAAGCATCAGCTTGGAGATCCACGGAGAATAACAGAGCCAGACAGTGTGTAATCCAAGCATTCCCTCCATCAAATGGGCACTAAAGTGCTTTTGAAAAGCAACGGGGCTCAGGCAATGCATGAAGCTACAGCAAAATAAGTGTTTTCGCCCTTCACAGCACCTGGTCACAATCTCCCCTTATCACATCGACATGCTCCTGTGTCCCCAGGATCGGCATTCTTACAGGCTGTTATTTTTGTGTATTTTATTTAACTTCCTTCTTCTTAAAGCTCCAGAGGCAGAAAAAACCCCCTGGAGGACAAGCAGCAGCTCGCTACCTGTCTGGGGAAGGGGCACGCCAGACTCTGGGCATCACAGAGCCATTCCCTTCCACGCTGGAGTCCTGAGCAAGAACAGCCCCAAGATGCAGATGGGTAAATGGTTCAAGGAGAGCAGGAACAGGAGCTGGGTCCTGACCACAACATTGGGTAGGGGCCCCTAACTAGGATTGGGCCCTCCCTATATATGCACCTCATCCCCTGCCCAAATCTTGAACAAAAGATGACGGTACCAAGAAGCTTGCAGATGTTAGCTTAGTGTTGCTCCCAGGTCCCTTCACTGCTCTCTCTGCACTGCCAATTAGCACAAAAGGGTAAGGGTAACACTAACGTGGCTTGAGGGACACCCGCAAACTTGCCCATCCCTCTGTCCATCTGACAGCACATAACCATTGAGAAGGCCTAAGGTACGTTGCGTCCAACCTTGGCTAAGGGATTGCTCTCATGGTGCGACAGTGGCAGAGGGCCTCCCTCTTTCTCTGCTTTGTGCCCACATATGCAGCAGTCAGGCCCAGTGCCAGGCAGGATGCTCAGGAAGGGCATGCAAGGACTCTGCAGATAGACCTGCTGGGGGCATTGCTACCAGCTGAGACCTAATGCCAGCTGGAGCCCCAGAGCTCAGAGGGACCTGCCCAGGATCCCAGCCCGGCACTGCTGTATAGTTTTAGGGACAGGAGTCAGTTTTCCCCATGGCCAGGGCTCAGTTCCCTCTCCTGGCACAAGCTGCAGCTCACGATAGCCGAACGATCCAGTACTCTCCCTTCCCCTTCCCATCTGGTTCTTTTCCTTCTTCCAGCTGTTCCTGTTTTTATCAAGCCCGTAGATGGGAACCCCTTCTCCCCACCGTGAACGAAACGCTGACTGTCAGAGCAAGCTACATGCCTTGTGTGCCTTTGGCTGCAGCAGCAAAAGCAGGTGGAGGATAAATCCCCAGCACAGTCTGGAAACTTCCCCCTTCCTCTGGCAACATTCAAAACCCAGAGATGCTCCCCCCCCTTGCTCACTTGTGCTCTCTTTGAAGCATCTCTCTCTCTCACTTGCTCTGTGATGTGCCAGGGAGGGAGGGGAGGGGATCCCCAGGGGGTCAGGAAACAGCACTTGCCTCAGAAAAGATGTAAAAATAATTAAGCACATACGAGGTAATTTTGTCTCTCAAGATCCTTAATCCCCGTTACATGGCAGCTCAGGAGGCAGGGCCTTCTCCTCCAGGAAGATGAAAAGCTTCTGCCTTCCAGCAAGGGGAGGCGATGCTTTTGGTCTCTCTCTGCGTTCCTTCAGATCCCGAGTCTCGGGTCTCAAGGCTTCCCTCGGAGAGGTGGGAGGTTGCTCACATGCTGCTGTCACAGCATCCTCCCTGCTCAGCAGCAGTGGTGTACCGCAGGCTGGCTCCGTTGCAACACCCCTCTGCCACGGTGCATGGAGGGCAGCTCCATCTGACTTCCTCCTCTGTGCCTCAGTTTCCCCTCACCACTCTCTGGGAGAGCTGGAAACCATAACTCATTAGGTTATGGGCAGTTTACTGAGGCAGCTGCCCACCTGGTAGGGCAGGTAGCTGTCCATGGGGGAAGGAGAGGTGCTGTGGAAATGGAGACACTGCAGCAGACCCTGGGTCTCCAGTCACTCTATGTTCAGCCTCCCCATACCGTGGTTCCTGCTCCCAGGCCCCGCGGGGATTTCAGAAAGTGCTGCTCACAGAGAAGTTCCCTTTCATGGAGCCATTTGCTCTTTTGAAATCTG